ATTTATTGTAAATGATTATTAGCAGCAGAGAGATCAAGGACTTAACTTTGTTATTCATACAAAGTAAGAAACAGACTTTCACAAGTCTGCTACCTGATGTTAATAAACTAATTGTTAAAGTTTGACAGCAAAATCTGACCTGCAACTTGTAACTCAAAAGCAGATTAGCATTTGCATATTCAAACAGAGTCATACAATCCTTCAGCAGGATCAAAAGTTTACAGAGGAGCTTAGAGTATCAGTTTCTGGAAGGAGAAACACCCCACAAGATCATTCTCTACAGTGGGAACAGCTAATGGCCTGGGTACAACCACTGGGCTTGTCTCAGGAAGAGAAACATTACTGCACCGCGTAGCTCAAGGTGATGAACTGTTTCGTCAATCTTAGGCTGATTTTGTCCTTTTTAAGAGTATTTCCTGCCTCCTTCCGCCACTCTCTATGCAAGTAAAGACTCTTGAGGCATTCCTGAAAGCAAACTGCTGGAAACAAGTAATATGGAGCCTACATCTCAATTTATGGTGATCAGAACAAAAGAAGCATGTCCAACTCTAAGGGTCTGACAGGTACAGGTCACTTTGCAGCTTTAGTCAATAAGACATATTATGTACCTTGCTCATAGCCACGAAAACACATACATGACCACTCGATGTTATCAACTGCCCCACTACTGAATGGCATGCTCTGAGAGGAATATTTAACAGGTCTTGGAATGCAGAAAGCTATCCAAACTACCAAAACTGAAAGGGAAACTCACCAGGAATTAAAATGCATTTTCTTTATACAACCCCTTTCCCATCCTTCCTGCTGCCAGATACTCAACTCTTTTCTAATGTCTAGGAGCGTCCCTGCCATCACACTGTTCTCTAGAAAATGAAAAATCTCTTCCATAGACTGCTGCCTTCCAAAACCACTCAAAACTATGCCCTATGTCCTGCTGACTGTGTTTCTTTGTCCTTTGACAAAAACCAGAAAACGAAAAGTTAAAATGGTTCCCACCAGCTCTGTTGACAGCACAAGCCAGTAATAACCAGTTTAAGCATGAATCAGAATTTCTGTAATCAGAAATTAAAAATACTCCTGTGACATACCCTAAACCACAATGGTGAAAAAGACATACGTGCATTTGTAACCAGAATTGCTATGGCAACCCTTTATCATACACAAAGCACTGGAAAATTTCAGACTGTTATAACATCACGTCCATGGACATTTCACACGAAGGAAAACAAGAATCCCATGAAAACAAATATCAATCATTAATATTTTGCCCATTTCTAATGCAGATTTGGATGGTTGCCAAAGAGAAGGGAGAGGCATCTGTGAGGCTGCTGTATCTCAAAGTCCCACACAGAGAGTGATCATGTGTGCTGACACGAGAGAGAAAGTCTGTTGTGCTAGAGATAGGCCAGGGAAAGGATATTGCCCCCAAGATAAAAACAGTGGCTGACTGAGACAAAGTTACACCTAAACATCACCCTACCACCCTATATTTATAATTGTTAATAGTTCTGGTTCAGCAAGATTTTTAAAAGGATTATTTTGTCTTCCTTCACCATAATACTGAAAGCATTGGTTTCCAGTATTTAGATGAACTTCACTTCTAAACAATCAAAAAAGTTAAAAATAGCAAGCCTTCTCTCTTTACCCAGACAGTACATTTCTTATGGAAATAACTTTAGACTAGAAGTTAAACCCTGTTCTTTGACAAACAGGAATACCTCCATTATTTCAAATAGAGGATTTATGGGCAGAATTTGTTGTATAGATTTACTGGGAAAGAAACCTTTCTGGTACAAGGTAATCCAAACACTTATTTACATTCTAGAGAAGAAAAAGCAGATATGCTTTGAGGTCATTCAAAAGCCAGAATATAAGTAATATAAGTTTCAGCAGAAATATCAAATATTTTATTACTTGTTCTTCTACAAAGAAACACAGCTTACATGGTATTTAAAACAGCTCTCTTTTTAACAGAAAACCAAAATCACAAGAAGGAATTTTATTTTTTTTAAGGTTATGCTAGAAATTTTTTAGCTGTTGATTATGGTCTTTACTTTTCAGAGATACAACAGAAAAATAAGCTTTTTCTAAAAAAAAAAAAAAAGGCCATGAGTTGTAATAAAGTTTCCTGTTACTTAAAATAGGAATATATGAAGCAAAATTATCTTTCATTATGTAATTTTGAAGAAAATAACCAGTAAAACATTAAAGATAAAAAGACAGAAGGTGTTACTGATCTGTTATGGATTTATATTTGTATGCATTAATTATGTGTTTGTTGAGTGAATTTAGTGTGTACTTTTGGAAAACCACAGCAAAAAAGGATAGGTGTTAGTAAAACACTGAGAATAAGAAGGATTAGAATTTATCTCTGATCTTAGTGTGGACTTCCATGGCTATGACATCAGAACTTTTTAAGTGCTTCTGTAGTCAGCATAACAGTTCTGTTGTTTGAAGCCAGAAAGCCTTTACTGACTAACCAAACTGACAATACTTTTAATTTTGAATTTCTTATGGACACAATTAAGACCAGGGAAATGTCTGACAATCATAGTTGGTTGAAACGTCAGCATTATTTTAAGAACAAACCAAGAGAATTTGACTTATTTTATCTATATGCGCACAGATTCTGTTTTCTGTTGATACTTTAAAGTTAATTTTTAAAAGTCTTGAGATTTTCAACCACAGCTTTCAATATTTAAAAAATGCTTGTCTCATTAAGTTATCTGAATCCGAGTTTTAGTTTAAGGGGAAAGACATCTAAATGTACAGCCTACATGTAGTTGCCTGAGATACGTAGATGTCAACATTGGTTAGAAAGCAATTCAGCAGAACAGTTATCTGATTCAGTAGCCACCTACAATCAGAATCTGGAATTAAGAGGCACGAATGTGTACAGCCAGTGTTATGTGAGAGGTTCTCTAGAAATCCAAGACAGCTGCCTCTGACTGACAGCTACAACAATGGTCCAGCACAGACTCCAGCCTTTGGACATAAAACAGTCAGTGCCTAAGCTGGAGATGCTGGATCATCTCATGCAGCAACAAATGCCTGTATGCAGGCAGTGTAATTGCACCCGAGGAGTTTACAATGAGATGAACAGGTTTCTAGGTGCTTTGAGTGTTGACTTAACCTTCACTGACTGCAAGGAGAGCTTAGACACCTCATATGTCAACATCTACACACAAACTTCTAGGTTTAAGCATCTTGATCTAAAGCCAAACATGACTTTGACTGTCTGATGCCACTATGACTTCCCCACCAGCGCTCTTGCAAGAATTATACCTGGACTCAATCAGCCAAATACATACATATCCTCCTGACACAATAAGTGCATCTTGAGCTGAAAAGGAGGAAAAGGCATTATTAAGAATAATGGTGTGTGTTGCTCAGAATAATGGCGAAGACCCAGAACTGAGCACTTCCACTGGGACGAGTTACTGAAGTTAGGATGTAAGAATTCTCTCTTAATACAACTGGGGGGGGAAACTTTTAGCGGGTTTTTCCTATGGTTTGCACCTCACTTCTCTTACAATTGCGACAAGATATCTCTGCCTTTCTGCCCTTGAAACTGCACTGAATACTGCAATCTCCACTGTGGTTCTGTGCCTACAGCTACCCCAGGGCATTTTACGTAGAGATATGTGTTCTAAAGACTGAGCAGCTGTTTACAAGCAAGAGACACTTGCTAAGCAACTGAAATGTGGGAGGTGGGGGTCCAAACCCAGAAGGAAAAGACACGGGTGGCAGCACAAGTCAACATCAACTATAGGGCAGCCCATGGGCTCAAGTATATGCCTCAGGTCCTCAACAGAGCTTGTTCAGAGCTAGAGTGCCACACAGAATTACAATCTCCCTCTTCATCAACCCCCAGCAGCACAGAGGTTGAAGATACCTCTCTCTCTGCATAGTCCACACATCAAGAGCCCACTGCAAAACCTAAGTGCTACGGGCAGTGGTCATTTCCAATATCATATGAACTTACACGATACTATTAAATGGAGTCTGGTACTGCAAGGATACTGGGCATTCAGAATAAGTGGTTTGAGGCTTTCTAATGCAGTCTGCCTTTCAACAGAAAATAATGATTAAAACTGAAAAATCTGAAGAAAATGCTTGCTTCTCATAATGAAAATCTTAACTTAAAAGAATTATCAGTCAAAAAGGCAGTAAAGCTTTAACTTTCAATTATGATTCTGATTATGATAAAAGGTCCTCATAGAAATCCTGGTTCAGGCAACTCACTTGTGCAAAGATGGGCCCACAGACCAAGCTTCCTACTCAGCATCTGGAGTATACAGAAAGGTTGAGTTTTTCAACTGAGTTTAGTAAGTTGGGCTTTGGCACTGGCTTTTTTTTTTTTCCTATTTTTTTGTTCCTTCATATTTTTATAGTCCTCTTTTACTCAAATAATTCACATTTAATTTCTGCTATACATAATGTTTCCTTTCTGCTGGTCTATTTCTACCTTAGAACTGAAGTTTGGTCCCTATATTTCCAAGTCTTCAATTACAGCTCACAAGACAAAGTTCTACTATTTTAAATAAAGCAGAACTAATTCAAAGCAGTGTATAATTAATCAAAATAGCTAGCAGTGCAATATTTAAAATAACTGAAGGTTGCCTGGATTATAGCAACATTATTAGCATGTGATTAATAAGCAGTTGAAGTATTACATTTGCTACACATTTGCTAAGTTATTTTATCTTGCTTTAAAGTTCAGTGGCAAAGTTTCAAGCTGTAGTTAGGAGATTTGCTTTATTCAGTATTACTTTGTTGACCCCACCATCTGGTCAAACAGCTGAGGAAACTCAACCGTACCAGGGGGGCATGTTTCTCTCTTGGGAAATATTTGCCTTTCTGAATTATGCAATGGTTACCAGTTTCTAGCTTATTAGACTAGGATTAAAAAAAAAAATCCAAATACTTTGTAGATAACCTGAGTTTGGTGGGCCCTGTATCTAGCTATTACTTATGTAGGAAAATAAAATGACACTTACTTGAGGACCAGGCTGACCCTGAAAAAACAAGAAAAAGAAAAGGTTATGGAATGTTGTGGCAAAGATTAACTCCTTAAATAGTAGAAAATAGTTACAGTACTTTCTAATAAGGAGATAATAAAAAATACAGTAATTGTATTGAAGTTAGATTTTTGACTCGTCTATATTGAATTTGAATGTTTTAGTTCAAACTGATGAACTTTCTTGCAACTGATTCTATAAATAACTTAGAATAACACATGACTGAAACTGCATTTCAGAAACTTCATATTTTAGACAGTCATAACAACTAGAAGTGACAGAAACACCTAATTTAACAATTCTCATGTGAGAAAGAATCCACAGATGCTGAGCTGATTTAGAAGTAAGTATTGGGGTTTTTTTCTTTATTATGGCTCAGCTCCATGTTTCAAGGAGGTGCTAATTACTGCTTATTGAACGAACAAAGTCTCAAAACTGGAAGGACACATTGTTGAACAAACAATAGTCTTTCTGCCTTTGCTGCAAGCACCACAGTTTTAAGTATAACCAAACTTTAAACCAAGTGAGAAGTAGATGAACCTTTGTCAGTCAGCCCAAGAGACAGCTGATGCATCTCCTCTCTCTTATTTATCAACATCCCCTTTAGACCAACCCTGGAAACTGGAGAGGCACCCTTTGACCACTGAGGAGTTGTACATATCCCTTGTTGCTGCAAACCCTTACAGAGAAGACTTCCTATCAGTAAGGTCCCTAGCCTAGGACAGCCACTGAAAGTCATCAGTTACTGTAGCCCATTTATTAAAAATTATTTGTATGAAGCAGGATTATTTTAACAAACTGTATTTTAGCTGTGATTACAAACTACATCACCCAGACAATCAGCTCACACTGTAAGACAGAGACAAATATTTATATATTTCTCTCTACAAAAAGAGAATTTCTTTAAACTCTTAGGGCTAGTTTAGCTTTTAGTGTTTCATGACACTTAAATAATATTTCAGTTGAACTGAAACTACATTTCCTTCTGTTGACAAAACCTGAGCACGGAGAAAGCTTTTAAGTCTTATAAAACCTCTTCATTTTAGCTAGAAAGTATTGCTACGGAGAGTAGAAACTTTTTTGTCTGAACATCAGGAAACACTTTTCTTACTGTGGGGATACCCAAAGGCACAAAGGAGATTGTGGAGGAGTCCCTATTCTTGAAGATATTCAAAAGCCATTGGACACGATCCTGGGCAAGCTGCTCTAGATAGCTCTGCTGGAGCAGAGAGGTTAGGCCAGATGACTTCCAGTGATCCCTTCCAACTGCAATCATTCTGTGATTCTCTGTGATTTTAAAGGTGATGGGGGAGAAAACATTTCAACTGGGAACAATTGTGTACAAGAAATGCAGTTGAAGAAAATGGTTTTGGTTGTTTTTTTTTACCAACTTATAAGACTTTTTGCTCTAAATTAAAAAAAATTTAAATTCGCATGAAAATTTTTAAATATTTTTGAAATACAAGAAATATTACAAATTATGTTACAGAGGAATAATGGTAAAATACAGAATTATTGTGGCTATCTAAACTTTACACTGAATGCAGCCTAAAGTATTCCTTGTTGTAGATGCTGCAGTTTTGTATTAGTTCCTTAGAACAACACTGCACCATAGAGGTTAAAAAAAATAAATTACTGTCTGAGGTTTGCAAGTTCTAATATTAAGTAAAGCTTTCTGAATTGGTGAGTTCTATGAAGTTACACATCACATTGGGTTAATGAATATTAACTGAGACTCCTCAGCATTCCGACTTTACCTCAATCTTCCCCTCACAGGGGGTTTTAATCTATTATATGCTATACCTGATCTTAAAATCATCAGGAATTGCTTACTGATGCAGTATTGCTAATACATTAGTTCATATAAATTATCTAAACTGAGGCCTCTGAATACAAACCTTATATACAAACCTTAGAATGCATTTGCTCACAAGTATATCTAATGTTTTAATACATTTTGGGCAAATCATTAAAAGCTGTCTCAAATGCATATGTATTAAAAAAACCAAAACGTAAGTGAAGGTCTGAAATTACCAAATGTTGCAACAAAAAGTTGATTTTTAATGATAGAAAGTAAATAAAAATATTATATACATATATATTTAACCAAAGAGATTTGAAAATTGACTTTTTTCTTCAATGTAACATGCTATATGTATGATATACAAGACATACACACATAACACAAACATATCCTGAACTGAATGTGAGGATTGGAATCACGCTCCCATGAAAGTGTTCTCTACTCCCAGACTCAACAACATTAAAATTTGCCTTTCTGTTATTGTGCATTTATAATTACTTTTCTGCAATACAGAGAGAGGAAAGCTAGAAAATCAATTTTTATATGACAATGTTTCTTTATGCAGAGAATTCTATGAGATATCAGGGAATATAACAGTTGCACTGCTCTTAGTTTATATATGCTGTCAATATTGCAATTCTCCTGCATTTAGTTGTAAATGCATATGATGAATACAAAAGTACTCTTATCAGGATTTTTTTAACCTGTTACCTACGAGCTCCTTTAGCATGGAAGGATCTTTACATTAGTGAAGGTAATTATTTTATGTTTTTTACAGTGGTTTCCAATCCTTCAATATTTCTGTACACTCTTAGCTACTCCTCGTCCTACCAGCCACTGCAGTTACAGTGTAATTTTCCCTTCTCACTTGTGATCCAGTGACATTACCCAGAGGATGCAGCAAGCACTGAATTATGGAACTCATCAGCTCTTCTTACAAAGCTACGGGTAGAAAGGCATCAAAATAGTGACCTTTTTGATTGGAAAGGCTCACTGTCACACAACAGCAATTCAAAGCATGGGAGACAAAAAAGGGCTGTTAATTTTGCCTTCTCGCATTTTTGTATGCTGTGAAAGGGTCAGGAATAAAGCTCTGTGAGTTACTTTTGTGTTCATTAAAAAACCCTCTAACATAAATTCAATCTGATATTATAACACATTTGAGCAAGCTCAATCTCAATTCATCTGGTTGTGTTCCCAAAATGACCCCAGGACTGCTGAAATCACCCTGGTTCATTACTGCATAAATCACCCCCAGTTCATGCTACTTGTGGAATAAAATGTTTTAGCTGGAAGTATTTCTCTTAATTTCAGATAACAAACAGGGTGAAAATACTCTTAAAGAAAAGTCAGCATTACTCTATGATTTTTTTTCTAATGAACATCTCTTTATTCAAACCTGCTACATACTCTAAAATTCATTGATTGTAGCTACCAACTGACTGCTGTTCTTTGCATGCATTTAGGGATCAGTCCCAACACCAGTAACTGATCAGGTACATTCTCATTGTTGCTGCTTTGAACCTCTGGATCATTACTCACATACTTGATTATCCATACTGAATGCTGATTTTGGTTTTTTTTTAATCTCTATGGCTACAGTGGGTATAGCTGCATAACATGTCATGGTTTCAGTAAAATCTTCAGAACAATTTTCCCTTCTGTACTCTTATTTACCAGCTTAATACACTATTTTGTGGTAAAGAAAGGGCTTATATTTGGTAGCCTAATTACCATGATGGAAGCTCTTCCACTGTTGATAGTTAATCCCTTCCTAGCAATTTAACCTAACATTAGATGCTGATACATAAATGATACTAAAACAAAAAAGGACATACACATGGTGTAGTGAAGTTAACAGGTAAGCTACCAGTCCACTGAAAGAGGAGATGAAAGGAAAAGCCTATTGACTGTATGCTGCAAACTTTACAGACAAGTTACTTAATAGCAGAAAGAAACCTCAAGGAGCACAGGAAAAGTCTTAAGAGAAGAAAATGAAAGTTGACACGGTAAGTCAACAAGTTGAGCTTGAAAAGGAGATGGGGCTTGTAGTAAGTAAAAGGACAGAAAAGACAGTATGTATCGGGCATCAGTGAAAACGGCTATCCTGAAAAGCAAGAAAGAGGGAGCAAAAGCAAGAGTAAGAAAGTGTAGAAACTGGATTTTCACACCTTTCCATGGTGTTAATCTTTAAAGAGCTGGGAACATAAACTTCCAGGCTCATACATCCAAACATGTATGAGTTACACAAATATACACAAAAGTACAAATGCATTAAAAAATGCATTGTATAAAATTAAAGGTTAAATCTAACTTAATTCAAGCAGCATATCCCTAAAGAATATCTTGAATTTGTACAAATGCAGTTATTACGAGACATGAGGCTGTCCATATCTAATCAGCAAACAAAATCCAGATAGAGAAATTAAAACACAAAAATTAAGAATCTGTGGAAAAAGGAAACCAGTAAGAATCATAGATAAGTGGTCAGAAGGGATATCCAGCTCTTTGAAAGGCCCCATCGAACTACACTTGTGGAGCATTCTCTGGACAGAGCACCCAAGTAGGAACATCTGTCTTCCAATCTTATTCAGATAGAAAATGATAAGGAAACAGAGTAGCACAGCTGACCCCCATTTTCTTGGATAGACACAAAAGATGAAGAGGTTTTTCAGCAATATGTTGAAAATCCATGCTACTAGAGTTGAAGAAGTTATTCTGAAGGAAGCCAATATGCGACTAATATACATTTCAGCATGAGTAATTAAAAGAGCAAAGAGGGAATATATGCAAGACCTAAATTGCACTGGTTTTGAATAAATCACCTACCAGCTTTCCATCCATACCAATCGGGCCCTGGGATAATCAAAAGTCAAAACAAAATGGAACAGTTAAATCAGAGAAACAATGAAGATGAGGACAAATAAACAGACTTGGGGAATACTGTGGACTTCAGAAGATTAATAACTATGTCAGCAGCTAAATGCAATATCTTAAAGATATTTTGAGAATGAAGGCACAGAAAAGAAACAGCAAAAGAAGCAGACCTAAGACAGAATTAATAAAAGCAGCATGGGGGGAAGCAGCCAGGCAATAGCTGGTGTTTAACAAAACACAGGTTCAACGTGAAATGGAGAATTGTTAGTTTGGCAAATCACAGTGGCCCAACATAACCAAACATATGAAATAATGC